GTAACTGAGTGATCACCTATCCCAAGAGCCAGGTGGTTTCACCCAGGTGGGCCCAGACAACCAGAGAGTTCTCCAGGGCCTGAGCAAAAGCTGGTGGAGAAAGCCAGCTCAGATAGGGAGCCAGCTCAGAACTGGGCCTGCTCTCCATACACGGCTTTCTAAATGAAGACTTCTAGGTGCTCGTGGCTCAACTGCCCTGGCCTGGGCAGGATTCTCAATGCAGGGCATAGGATTCTTCCTCATTTGTTACTGCTTATCCGCTCTACTGTGCACACAGCGTGCGCGCACACACACACACACCACACAAACCTTCAGCCTTACTCCACTTCATATTCTCTTCTGTGGTTATGGATCCTGGAAGCTCTTTAACCCTCAGCCCTGACCTAAGGTTTCCGTGATGAGTGCCATTCCTTGCGCTATGGCCCCAAAGCCCAGATGGCTGTCCTTCTTCCCTGACACACTTCTCTCCATGCTCAGGAGTGTCTTGCATTTTTAAAGTTCTGATCACAGTTGTTGTTAGGATTCTGATTGTGAGTAGAACGTGACCTAGGCCTTGACAGAATACTGCTCAAGAGGAGAGGTGAGGCCTCGGCTGGCACGTTCCCCGTGAAAGACTCTCCCACCTCCACGGCCCCACCCCCATGACTGTCAGGAAGCCGGGTACCTGGATCCCATTATCCTGGCTGCTCACATAAACACTTTTCTGTGAGTTATGCCTTGATGTCAGACCTCGCGCTTTTGTGGAGGGTCGATACAGGAATCATCTGGTTGAACAACACCGGGATGTCTTTTGTAAAACTGCAGTTGAAGACATCATTCAGTGTCACCCGGTGTGTCCTTTACATGAGGATCCACACGATAAATTCTGCCTTGTGTTTAGTTTCAGGAAGAAATTCTATTTCTGCAGATAAATTAGTTAGTGTGCTCCCAGCTGTCAGAAAATGAAAACTCAGGAATTCTGGGTGCTTCTTTTTGTTCTGCGGCTAGACAAGGGAGAGCCAAATTTATTGCCTGTGTGTGTAATTTGCTCAGCTGTGGGGTCCAAAAGCACTTACTCCTTCCACTTCTTTTAAATGGACTTATTTTATTTTATGTTCAAATGTCTCATTGTGCTTTTGCGAGATGTGTGGGTCTGGAAGCCGTCTGGGGAAGAATTCATTGGCCCATTGATTTGGCCTGTTTTCTGCTTATGCCGGCTGCTGGAGACACGAAGCTTAATTCCTCTGCACCCAGCTTTCAAGAAGCTCATGTTTTAATGCGGAGAATAGCTTGGAAATTATTAGTCATTATAAAACAAGGCTGGTGAGCTCAGAGACACACAAGACTGAGGAAAAACAAGACCCTGGGAGAAGACGCCAGGGGACCCTTCCTGGAGGGGGTCAAGGCTGAGCCAGCTTTGTGTATTGAAGGGAAAAGGACAGTGGATGGAAACAGGCAGCTCTGACTCTGGAAGTTCAAAGCTGACCTCTTCTTAATGTTTGTTCTCTTTCTTCTAGCTCGGCTAGAGACTCTCAGAGGGCAGGCCTTAGCTCTGCACCCCCCATATGGACATCAGGATGCCAGGCAATTTGCCCGGCGTGCTGCAGTATGGCACCTGGCCTAGCCTGAATCAACCAGGCTATCTGCTTTTGTATCTGTAACCATGTTGGGTCTCAGCTGTAATGTGTGTGGGGGTGGGGGAGGAGGGCAGTCCTGTGAGGCTCTGGGCTGGGGAGCAGAGAGGATAGAGCAGCCTTGCCTGAACATTGACATTGTTTCCCAGGTCCAAGGTAAAGACCGACTCTGGGTTGGCTGGATTCCCCACCTCACTGCTTATAATGAGCCAGTGGTATGAAGGATAGAGGAGAAATATTTACCTTTTGGGGATTTGTGAGCATTAAATAAGAAAATACACAGAGAGATATGCCGTGAAACTCCCCAGAGACATTGGCTGGTGGCCTCATCTGATCCACCAGCCATTGTACCTTCCCAGGTAGCAAGGACAATGCAGCTGTAACCACACTCTCAACTCTCCGAGTCACACCCATGTTAAAATGACATGCTGTCATTCCCAAGGCAGCCTGCAGGACCCAGGATCCCTCTCAGCCCATCAGTCATGTCTGTCGTTGATGTTCTTACAAGTGGCTATTGACGTGTGCTTCAGGGCTACCCCTAGATTTCTTAGGCTGCCACATCCAGGGCTCACAGGGCTCAATGCTATTCCTGCCTCGTGTCAAAATCTTCACGAGTTTCCGTGTCCATTGACTTTCAAAAAGACCAAGGCTGTGAGGCAGTCTGAGTGCTCTGGCATACTGTGGGCAGGCGGGATAAAAAGAGAGCCATGATCTGTATTTGTAGCCAGGGGAGGGAGGAGAAAATCTTGAGCACACACATGTGTATATGCATACACACATAGCCAGGGACTCATGCTTGTCTGTATGTGTTGTGTTAATAAAAGTAGTGATGTGAGGAAAAGCCCAAAAAACCCCATGTTGAGAAGATATGCCCCTTCCTTTAATGTAAATTCTCCCACCATAGCTGACTCTAAGCTGCGGTGTTGTGTCAGTAAGCTTGGACTTGAGGAAATGCAGAGCAGCCCTCACTGTGCAGACACCCCCACTTCCATAGCGACATGGGAGCTGCAGATAACCTCAAAAGCACAGATAATAATCAGCAAAGAAGGAAATTTAAGTGTCTGTTGAGTTTGTTTTAAAATATAATGCAACTCTAAACCTCCATCATTTGAATCTCAACATCAGCTGTGTTGAATAACAACACCCCATAGTCCCGACACGTCACCAGCCAGTTCTCGTGACATGGAATTAGCCACCTCTTGCACACCCGGGGGCATGGTTTTCTCTCATCAAGGCAATGTTCTCTTCTAAATGTTGCCTCTCACATCACCACTAAATCTATGTTTCTTGGGATCTATGTTTCTTGTCTTCATATGAATTTCCTTGGACACTCATCTGTTTTTCCATATAGAGATGTGTCCTAAGCAGGATGTCTGTGCCAGCCTTTCCTGCTTAGCTTTGCTTGGTTCCCACAGTACTCCCAAGCAGTCACTAACCACCCTCCATAGAAACCTAGGAACACACAGAAAGACTAATGGTGCATGCCTAAAATGGAGGGCGAGGCAAGGTGAAGAGGTGGAAGGAGGACAAACCAAAGACAGAGAAGCAGACATTGCCTACCTGGTCACTGCCTAACTCTTGCACTAGAAGCCCACATGACATGACAGCAGGCCACAGACCATGCCAACATGCTACGCGTGCTGCTTTATCTGTCCTAGCCTTTGACACAAGTGCCAGCTGCTGGTGAGGGTGGAGGAGAAAGCCTCCTTCACCCTCCTGTACTGGGGTCACATGGGGCCAAAGATATTAGACCACCTCCTAAGGCGCCTGGACAGCTACCCGGCTAACACAGCAGCAGGGAACTGCTAACATCTCTTCTCTAATTGGGATAATATGCTTTTAAACCAAATGGGTCTTTCTGAAGCTCTTAGACTTCTAGCCTGAGTACTCTCTGTTTGAAGTTTGCTGATGGCTTTCCGGCACAGCTGGCCCCACTGACCCTGACACCTGTGCAGGGTAGGAGGCACCAGTGAGGCAGACAGCGGGATTAAGGCACAGAATTTCTGCAAACATGCATAAAGGCTCCAACGGTACCTGCCCCAGTAGAAAGGACTAGACCAGGGAGGTGTTGGGATGGGGAGCGCGAAGGACACAGCAGCCCTTGCCTGCAAGTTATGGGCATGCGTTCGCAGGTCCAAGGTAAAACCTGGATTGAGCGGCATTTCCACTTTGGCATTACCTTTAATGAGTCAACAATATGAAAGCTAGAGAAGGCCCCTGTGTGAGGGATGACGTCAACCCAGCGACATGTCCGGTATGAACAAAGGACCCAGGTCAACTGACTGGCTTATCTTTCTAACAGAGGCTGTCCTGCCTTCCCGTGGTTCCCTGATGCAGATGGCATGGGAGGAATGTCAACTCTGGGCGTGTCAAGTCCTTGGCAGTGGATTGCAGGGGTGTGACCCCACCAAGACTGGCAAGGGGAGGCTCAGTGTCCAGGTAGGTAGTTTGGACCTATGTGTCCTGGCATTTCCACCTCATCAGTTGTCATTTCACATGATCGTTATTATTATTACTGATTTGGGCCATTCTCATGACATTAGGTTTCTGCTCTACTTCCCTTCCACGGGCCATGGGGACCAGGTCTCTTTAATTGCGTGTCATTGCAGGACCTACGCTATCACAAGGGGGAGCTGCTTGTTTATAAGATAAGTGATTTGAGTCCTGGCCAGCTGGAAAGAGAGGTGTTTTGTTTGTTGGTTTGTTTTTCTCAGAGATTTGTTCCACTTGCCTTCAGGAGAATGACACTATCCTCCGGGTACTTTTCTTGAGTCCCGAACCAAAAGAGACACTTCCTGCACCTGTCTGCCCCTGAAGGTCCCTTGGAAAATGTCCATGACCATGGGTTTAGTGTTGACATTATCAATGCACTGAAGTGAGTCAACCATTGTTGTAGGCTAGGAACCATAGGAATGTTCAGGGAGATCGGAGGCCATCATCTCATCTCAGCAAGCACCAGCCACAGGACCACAGTCAGGCCACTGAATCTCCCCCATCTGGAGGATGCCTCAGCCTCTTGTGAATGTGATGATGAAGAAAATACCTGGTGCCCACAGGACCACAGGCACTGATGGGCTGCTGTTTTTGCCATAAGTTGCCCTGTAGGATTAATCAGTCCTGCCTCTAGAAGCAGCAGGGTTCAGGCTGTCATGGGACAGGAAAGCTGGGAGGAAAAGGAAGCAGCCAAAAGGGGGTTTGAAAGCACCTAAGGTGAAAGTTGGCTTGCCCAGATAAGGTACACAGACCCCAACCCTTGCCTTCCTTCAGCTTCCAGCATGTTAAGGGCTTGTCATCTTCCTGGAATGGGTTGGGCCACTCCTACCTTCATCGTGAGGATGCTGCAGCACAGACCCATTCCTCATCCCAAGGGCTGTGCAGCGTACTCACCAAGGGCGACTTTCTGTAGGTGCCGCTGGGTGAGGGCTTCCTTCAGCTGACCTGTCAAAGACACGGAGAAAAACCATCAGAGAGTTTCCAACAGGCTGCAAGAAGACTTCACCTTAGGAGTACCTGCTGAACTGGGGCAGAGAAGAAAAAGGCCAGAATTGGGGAAACACTGGCAGGCACAGCTCCTACTGAGAACCCTTCTGCATACAGCCTGTGTTAGGAAGAAGAACACAGAGGCAGGAGTTGGCACATCAGCATGAATTTCACCTTGGGGTCAACCATCTTATGGTTTAATCATCTAAGCCTGTCATTCATAATCTTTTCTGGGGCCCTGGTCTCTTCAATAATTCTATTATTAATAAAGGAGGGAGGGAGGATGTGGTCTTTTAATAACTTATAAGACCCTCTCTTCAATCCAGTTCTTTTTTTTTAAGAGCTGTATGAAAAAAAGTTGATCACTGGGTATGAAGCACACATAACTCTGGGTCACATTAGTGAGGTTACAGTGTATAGACTGAGGTCAATGAGAGGGTCAGCAGAGTTCTGTGGAACTGGGGCGGCAATGTGCCATTTGTTCTGGGTGCTTCCCTTACAGGAAACATTTGCAAAACAGAAAATGCACAGTAGAGGGGTAAGGAGGTGGCTCAGTTGATATGCTCCCTGAGAAGACACCATACTCAGAACCCGCCCAAGAAACCAGGCACAGTACCCAGAACCTTTAATCCCGGCCCTGGGGAGTCAGGGATGGCGTGTTCCTGGAGCTCGCTGGCCAGCCAGGCTAGCTGAATCAGTGAGCTCCGGATTCAGTGAGATCCTGTCTCAACAAATACAAGGGGGAGAGTGACTGAGAAAGACACCTAACAGGAACCTCTGGCATAGATGGTGACCGGGAGGTGGCAGGTCAGAGATCATGCTCTTGAGGATTTTTGAGTTGACCTGAGATGTTTTGATGGAGAAGAAAAGACGAGGAGGAACGGGGATGAAAGCTTCCTAGAAAAGGGAGCAGTGGTGTATAGACGTTCTATTCTGTTTAACTTGGGAGTGAGTGTGTACGGAAGCCAAGTCATAGAATGGCCAACTTGGGGGCTTGATGTGAGGAAGGAACAGTTTATCAGGCGTGGCCTGCAAATGGACTGAGTGTTCTCAGGCAGCCCCAGTCTCCCAGCACAGCAGAAAGGGCCTCTCAAAAGCACCAGGAAAGAGCATTCTGTGGGTTGTTAGAGTGAAAATTCCTATCGTTAGAGGATTTGGGACTCAGTGACTCTGGGTGTCGTCTATATCAAAAAAATCCCAAGGTTTGGGGCTTGAGACATGGGTAGTTCCGGGGTTAGTGTGTCCTGAGACTCAACACACGTGTTAAATTTCAGTGCAGTTTGTATTGCTTGTCCCAAGTGGGAACTTGATCAGGACGCTGGGGGGAGCCTGGGAGTCTCGCTGCCCCCTGCCTCTTGTATTTCTTCCTGCACATAAAGAACATTCTCGAGCCCCACAGAGAAGATGAGCAGAGAAGGAGGTGTTCACAGGAGACCTGTTTGCTCAGGTGATCCTAGGACTGAGAAGGATGGCAGAGCTCACTCCAATTCCAACTTAAGAACCCATCCTAGAGAACGAGCTAGAGCCCTTTTCCTAGCCAGTTTCATAGTGAAAATGTAAAGAATAAACACCTGCTTGCCTTCCCTTTTCAGCACTCAGATTAGCATAAAAAAATGATTATTTCTGCTTGGCAGAGAGAAACCTTCACACCAGGAGGTGACACCCTTTCCCCAGTCTGACTGCCCCTCCAAGTCAGGCGTCATCAGCTCTTCAGTGATCCCCGAGGTGGGGGTGGGGCACAGCTTCCAGGTAGGTGATCACCCAGGGCTGTTGTTCCCAACCTTCCTAATGCTGTGACTCTTTAATGTAGTTCCTCATGTGGTGGTGACCCCCAACCATAAAGTTATTTTTGTTGCTACTTCATAACTAATTTTGCTACAGATAAATATCATAATGTAAATTGTATCTGTAAATATGAGTGTAAAATGTAATCTGACATGCAGGATATTTGATATGTGATCCCTTTGAAGGGTCATGACCCACAGATTGAGAACCGCTGACCTGGGACTCCTGCATGGCTGCTCATAGTGCTGCTCTACGTCCTCCCTGAGAACGTACACACAGAGAGGAAGCCGAGGGCAGGTCTGAAGGATAACTGCTGCCCAATTCTAAGCAGGGAAAGGTGAAACCTTGGGAGCGTGTTGTAGCGGAGGAGTTGGGAGGAAACCTGGCTTGTTATGAATTGCTGCATTTTTTTATGTGCATACAGAGCTTTCTTTTCTGAAAGAAACATAATGGCTTAATTCTAGAAAATGAAGATTTTTTAATTGTTTTCTTATGTTGTTCCTCAACATGTAAGTTTCAAAGTAGCACTTCTTTGAATTGTATTGTATTAAGTCATTTGATTTAATTTAAAAATTGCTCTAATTTAAAAAATAGGTGATGGGTTACTGACCTAAGTGTCATTAAAAAAAATCATTAAATAAATATATTTTAGCTTGGTATTGGGACAGAACTTCCAGCAGTTTCTGGAATGGCCCTAAACATGCTTTTGCTGTTCTGTACTATGCACTTAGGGGAAACCGCATTCTCAACAGTGATAACTATAAATCAAAACTTGATCACTATGGAAAATGTTGAAGATGCTCTCCATCCTTCAGTGAAAAATACCCAGGTGAGACTACTTCCCTATGTAAAAAACAAAAAAAAACAAAACAAAACCCAAACAATCGCATTTTTCTCATTAGCATGCAAATTTGCTCTTGACTTCAATAAATGGTAAAACTATATGTATACCAAAATTGCTCTAAAATACGTTTGTGTGCACGTGTATGTCTGAGTGAGAGGGGGACACCTACACAGGTGACAAACCCTGAATGTCTCCAACTCACCAACATCTTAGCAGGTGTCTCACTGAACCTGAAGCTCACTGCTTTGGCTGCCTGACCAATGAGCCCAGGGGTCTGTCTGCCTGTCTCTACCATGGAGTGCTGGAACTTCAAGCACATCTACTGGTTATCCATACTTCCCTGAAAGCATACATATAAATAATATTACATGGGCCAAGCACTTTGTGTTTAAGTATTTAGGAATATATATATATTATACATACATTCATATATAAATAAATATAAATATATATATAAATATATATAATGTATTCATATATATATATTCATATATATATATATGAATGTATTTAAATAAAATATATATAAAGAAAAAATATATATTTAAAGAAAAAAGGGTGTGAATTTGAAAAATGGTGGACACATGGAAAGATTTGGAGGGAAGAACAGGAAAGAGAAAATGATATAATTATAATTTAAAAAATAAAAACTAAGATGGGAATTTTAAAAATAAGGGGGAATATGCTTTGAAGGTCCACATCCCTCCCAATGTTCTGAAGACAATCCTCCGGCAATGTGTCCCACCTCTGATGAGGCTTGCCCCCACCCTGAGCCACAGGGGCATCTGACCTAGCCTGTCTTCAGTTCCCCTGTTTCCCATTGCAATGATGGGCTCCCCAACACTGAGGGGGCAGGGTTGGGCAGAATGAGAGGGTTAAGGATTTTCCACAGGCCTTGGCTTGCTCATGTATGCAAAAAGGAAGGTTTTACTAGGACTGAGAACTCTCTAAACTCCACACATATGCAAATGCACTCTTAGAATAAGGCACCCCTAAGGGACAAAACCAGTGGGCCTTTATAATGTCACCCATTGATAAAGGCAGTTGTAAAATATAATTCCCAATGCTCAGTATTGTTGAGTGTACTGACATCCCCTACCATATGGCATCTGGAGTGGGAGGGCCATATCCTCAAACAAGCTTCCAAAAATAGCCTTATGGCTGATACCTAATTACACTTGCCAGGAGAGGCATTCTTCAAGCAAAGATAACAGTCTCTCTAATGGGCAGGATCTTGCAGCTCCATGGGTTTTGGCAAAGGAGGAGCTGAGGGGGATTGCAGAATTCGCTCAGCATGAGGCTTGCTGTCATTACCACAGTGATAAATTTGCGGGTTTTGGCCAGGGTTTCTGGACATATTCTCTGTGTAGAGGTAGGGAAGAGATGAGACAGAAACAGAGAAGTCCCGGCCAAGGCAGGAGACAGACTGAGAGGGTAGCAGGGTGCCTAGACTCGAGCAAGACTCAAGGAACAGGAGATTGAAGGAAGAAAGGAGAGCCTTTTCCTAAGGACAGCTTTGGCAGTTAGCAATGTTTCTCTGCTGACTTACAACGCTATGTGCAAGAAATGCCTTGTCCCCTTTCTGATCCAGTCATTGAGGGGGTGGGTGGCAGTGGTGGCAGATGGGGTACTCTAAGCCAATACCCACCCCCAGAAACGCTGTGGAAATGTGCGGCCTTAAGACACTCGCAATCTGATCAGAGCACACGCAGGTTATGAGCTGTAGGTGGTATGGATTCTCTGGACCTGAGTAGTCCCTGGAAAAGTGTTAGCATCATGGGCAAGCAAAAAGCGATTCTGCATCCTGATACTTGGAGTGTTTGGGACGCAAGAGTTTTTCTTAAGCCTTACACTCCGTTTTGCATGTAAGCTAGCTTGAGATCACTCACTAAGTGGAAGCTGGTCCTGAGGGCAGCAGCTTATCTAGGGTTACAGCAGCACGGCTTTACACTCTTGCTCCTCCTGGGGTTTCTGTGATGCTATGCCATACTGAAGATGCTTACATTGCTATCAAGACATAAGTATTTATCATTTATGATTTAGTGCTGTCCAAAGTGCCATGTATTGAGGTAGTAGGACAGTCCATTGAAGCCTAAAAAACCAGCACAATGCAGGAGCCAGCAAACAGCTGGCCTACAAGCCCTTTTTAAGATGCCAGACATATGCCTGACTTTGTTCATCTACCATGACTGGTATCTTAATCTGCTTTCATCACCATAATGAAATATTAGGGGCAGGCCAACTTTTTAAATCAGAGAGAATGTTTTAGCGCATTTTTTTCACAGCTGAAGATCCAAATAGAACTACACAGGTTCTGGTGAAGGTCCCT